TGCTTCCAACCAACTGGCGCTGCGCAACTGCCTGCATTTTCTCCAGTTGCGAAGTAGTCCAAAATAGGCCTCTCAGGGTCCGTCGGGCCTGCCTTCACTTAGGGCGGCCGACGGTGTTGCAAATAGGGCCCCAGTAGGGCATTTAGAGGCCTTTGCCTCACAGATGATCGCTGTGGCGTGAAACTGAAGGGCAGCAATTTTGAAAAGAGAGTGATCTTGCCGGCTTGTGAGGTTAGGTTTGCTCCCTGTTGTTTTAACAGGAGAGTTGTTCTGGTCCAAATGTGTCACTGGCGGCTAAACCTAGGCTTGTTTTGTTTGGGGTGCAACCTTTTCATTTTTGGGGCCTCCATGGTTTTTCTCCCTTCAGTGCAAAGGGTGTGAGAAGCTCAGACCACACAATTTTTTTCTTCTTTGGGTAATTGAGAGGGAAGGGGACACCAGGGGAGCGGGGGTTATGGGTTGTCCTTGGTCTTGTGGGTCAGGTGATCCAGGTCAAGCACTCATCCACCTGTCACCCACATAGTCGGGTGATGCAGACCCAACACTGACCCACCTGTCACTTACCTAGGCCGGCTAGCCACAACCCAGCCACGCCCAATGCTCGCCAGCTAATTTAGACCTGGACCTAACCCATCAGCTTGTGGGTCAGGTAGGTGCAGGTGGGTGTGGGTATGGGTACCTGTTGCTCGTCTCTGAGAGTAAGACCCCGAAAGGCAAGACCTATGGGCTGCTTGACAAAGGCTAGATAAGGCCAAGTACCTCACCTTACGCATCTCCATTTCCATTTGCACCAAAGGAGGGAGGGGCACTAGGGATGTGCATTGACTATATATAAGGGCTGCAATGCCATCACCGCATGTGATGCAGAGCCCTGCCTCAATGTCATCACCGTGTGTAATGCAGACCTCTTGCCTCAATGCCAGCGTCGTGTGTAATGCAGAGCACCTACCCCGCATCGATGTCCTCTTGGATACAATGCAGGAATGTAAGTACTTAAGCAAGCTAGATCTAAGAGTTCATGGTGATGGCATTTGGGCTCTGTAATGTGGCAGTACATTCCAGCATGCCATGAATAGTGTTTTTATTCACTACTTGAATGAGTTCATTGTTGTCTACCTCGATGATATACTTTTCTTTAGAAAGACTTTGGAGGACTACGTCAAGCATCTAGAGATGGTTTTCAATCTCCTTCGGATGTAGAAGTATAAGATCAATAAAAAGAAGTGTCTAGTTTCTATGCACAAGAGTTTTATACTTGGGTGAAGTTGGGTCATGAAATCTTTGAGGAGGATTGAGGCCTGAGGATGCGCATGCGGTGGCTATATTAGGGACTGACTGAGACCTTAGTTATAGACTGAGGTCAGATCTTTCTTGAGGATGGCTGGTTATTACAAGTCGTTTGAACTAACTATAGCAGTATAGCTACCGTCTTCACCCGAATAGAACACCTGGTCATTATCGCTGCATCTGGACCGAAAGTTGTGCCAAATACAGCTATAATGACCGGGCGTTCTATTCGGGTGAAGATGGTAGCCCCTTGACAGATTTCACTCTACTACAAACCCCTCGGGCTTGGACCAAGGGATTTGAGTGGGCTATCAAGCAATTGGAGTCTGCCCTCATGAATTATCTTGTCCTTAAGATTGCGGGGCCTGATACGCCATATACGGTTACCACTGATGCCAGTCAATATGGGATAGGCGCAGTGCTACAGCAAGCAGAGGGGACTGAGTTGAGACCCATCTAGTACATGTCTATGAAAATGCCATCTCACCACCTTCTGTGCACTCGTTATAGCGTTGAAACACTGGAAGCATTACCTCCATGGCAGATATTTTGAAGTGAGGTCCGACCATTAGACATTCCACTGGATAAAGACGCAGCCCACTCTTTCAGATGCACTGAAGTGATGGATTCAAGTCAAAGATATGTATGACTTCACACTGAAGGATGTGAATGGGCAGTACAATGTGGTAGCGGATGCTTTATTAAGCAGAGCAGACTGCCAAGACGGTAGTGACCTATGTTGCGTTAGAAGGGCGTGTACGTCAGCAGGTGGAAGAATCCTCGAGCAGACTGTATTCTTAAAGAAATCATCACACATCTCAACAATATGCGAGATAGAAAGTTGTGTGTGGAGTTCAGGATGTTTGAGCGTTTGCTGTTCTTTATGGGGTAGAGATACTGTGTTTTCTAGGGAGTCTGTTCGTATGGGAGTGCCACGTTGCTACCGCACACTTTTTTGAGTTTAAAAAGAGTTATGCTAAAACGTTTTTGGTGGCCCAGTATGAAGAGGGATGCACAAATGTAGGTTGAAAGTTGTCAGGTTTGTCAACGAAAAAAAAAAGAAAAAAAAAAGGTTTGTCAACGAGACAAACCACACTCACCTCACAAGCACCTCTGGGCTTAACCAAGCCTCTTCCTATTCCTGAAGGTCTGGTCAGCCTCCGCACATGGATTTCATGTACACCTTGGTTACCAGCAGGAAAGGAAACAAGCAGATTATTCGGATCGTCGACATATTTTCTACATTTCCTCGTCGCATACTTCTACAGCCAAGACAGAATTAGTCCACCACCAATCACTGGAAGAAACACTTACCCAAAACCATTGTACGCGACAGGAAAGTAGTGTTCACAAGTGAAGTGTGGCCGGAGGACCTAGCTAGCTAGAAAGTTAGGTTCAGAACTGATGATGACGTCAAGAAAAAAGCTTTGAGGCGAACGGGCAAGCTGAGCACATGAGCGAACAAGTGCAGCAGCAGCTTCGAAGGCATTACATCACCCCTGATCAACTTGATTGGGACATCAACACTTACCTTAGATAGCTTGGATGTATAATAATGCCATACACTAAGCAACTTGCCGCTGACCAAGTCCAACTGCATTTAGGATGGAAACCCAGGACTCCACTGGATTTCCTGCTTCCTGATTGTAAACAGCAGACTGCCCCTGGAATATATGGAATATTACCCTTCAGTATGAATGCATTTTAGAAAAGACAGCAGATCAGCACTTCAGAAAGCCTCAAAGGGCTATGATTCAAACACAAAATCAGCTCAGATGAGTGCCGACATTCCAGGTAACATACATTTAACTCGTCTCGTCTGAGTTTACGGGAACAGCACATCATGTAAGCTGACACCACCGTATTTTATTTTGGTCCATGTATATAAACGAGTGTCCTAGATATTCCAGGGGATGATCCTGATGGCCCATCATATATGTGATTAATGCCCTCCCCACCTCCGAACTTACCCTGTGTTTCATGCATCCAAAGTTCCGAACTCTTCCCTTTTCCGAAGACAGCAAGCAGATGCTACTACCCAAGTTGCTAAGTAAATAGCCATTACTGTCAAGAATAAGCAAATGGAAATTAATAAATTATAAATGATGGACATCTGCTTGAGTATATAACATAAAATAATAAGGTCGTAGTAATTCAAGATAAATGTTGATGTGCGTTATCATATATTATTGGCTTATTAATAGTTTCATAAATTGATACAAGAATAGGATAGCGAAAAGCAAGAGTAGATATGGACCAGACTTATTTCCGTGGGGCGACCTGGACCGTGGCCTCCAAAAGAGACAAAAGGAGGGAGGCCCCTGGGCAGAGCACATTTAGGCACTGGCAGCATACGGCAGGGCTGGAGCAGCACATTGCGGCCAGATAGCACCGGAGGGAGAGAAGGCAGGGTGCAGTGGCTGCTGCGCTAGCCCCTGCCACAACTAGGCAGCGTTAAGGAGGGGCGGGTGGCGAGGTGCAGGGAGGTCAGGGAGGAAGAGCAAGACAGTGCGAAGTGTTGGTGCTTACCTCGGGTTGGCAAGTTGTACCTGTGAGAGCAGACGCTTCAGCAGCATCTGGCGAGTGGTATGTGCACTCTCTGCGCGAGAGTAGTTGGAAGTGTAGAGTAGTGTAAAGGCGGACACATCACAATAGGGCTACTGCATGGTTGTTGTATTGATTATTGGAGGCGAGGAGTGGGGCTTTCTTGGTCAAGAGACTTCAGTGTCCAGTCTATCTACACCTAATTGGTGGCTCGCAGCTTTTGTAATTCTGCTTTCAACTTAGCACTCACACTCAGGGCATACTCACACGGGGACGTATATTCCCAAAATCCCCCCCAAAAGGGGAAAAGGGCGGACACACGGATCTACCAAATTCACAAATGTACTATTCCTGTGCCCATTTATCAGCGGCCTGGGAGGCCGTGGGGCAAGGGATTTTGCCGTCACCTCTGGAGGTGACCGCAGATGCCGTTGTTGTTTTTTTTTGCATTTTCTTCAAAAATTGGCAAAAATTCGTTCACTAAAGTTCTTGCACAATTTGTGGATGGCTCCGCGTGACCAGCCAAGCACCAAATCCCCAATTCTCCAGACGGCCGCGACCTTGTCCCATCTGAAAAGGTACAGCAGTGTGACGTGAACCATGCCCCAAACCTCAAATCGGCCCTCCCCAAATCCGCATATTTTGCGGATTTGGGGTCGCCGTGTGAGTATGCCCTCAGGCTTGGGTCTTCTATGAATCTTTGCGTTTCAGAAATTTGGTGTTCAGTGTTCTCATTGGATGGTTTCTTGGTCTTTTGCCCTTTTGGTCTTGTCGTTCGTTGCTCTCTCAGTTGTTTGTTATCATTGAGTCAAAGTCATACTGCTCTATGACTTCAATCCAACTCGTCAGAGCGTCAGAGAGCACAGGCTGGGTTCTCATCCACTTCAGGGTCTGGTGATCAGTCCTGATGTAGAAGAACCTCCCAAGGAGATAGTGCCTCCAATGGGTGAGCGCTTTATAGATCGCATAGAGCTCCTTCTCATAGTTGCGCCTTGTGAGTTCATGTGAGAAGGCGATGCTGAGTTTCTGAAGTTGTGTTCATTTAACTTCATTTGCATGTCAAATAGATGTAGAATGTGCAACTATAGATAACAATTTGGTGCGTGCTTATTTCTGTTCCAGGATCCTGTTGTCGATGCATCTTGACTTGAAGCAATTTTAAAGGCAATCTGAAGATTTGAGCTCACGTTGTGTAGTACGTGAGTTTGCATCGCTTGATAATTCCAGAGGAAGAATCAGCGATTGGGTGGCTGGTGGGCAGGAGGTGACTCAGGCGTCGTTCATAATCATGCCGATCTTTTACCCGTATCGAGCCCTTGGGTACATTACAGATGAAACGCCATTCAGCGTTGTGAGGCGCGGTGCGGACCACACTGTTATCGTTAGCATCGGCAAAGCATGGCAGATCTATAGTTGTTCCAAACTCACCCTTCAGTTTGTTGGCCCAGAGCTGGAGAAGAGGATTACTGCCGTTGTGGGAAAGATTTCATCGACGTTTGTGGCATATGGCAGGAAGATTGGGGTTTTCTCGCGGGGTACGCAAGTGGAAACGTGGACAGGTCACACGGGCCGCGTGTTGCAGATGCTGGTTCTTGGAAACTACCTGCTCAGCCTGGGCGATGACAAGCGATTGCTCATCTGGCGCACAGGAAGGGCGGGCGGGTTGGACTCGGAGATCCAGCTGGATGATAGCTTTACACCAACTTGTTTAGTACACCCTGAAACTTATCTGAACAAGGTTCTCATCTGCTCTGAGGAAGGGCGACTCCAGTTATGGAACATTGTGAGTAAGAAGGTTATCTACGAGTTTAAGGGATGGGGGTCGGCAGTGCGGTGTTGTGTTTCTTCTCCTGCTTTGGATGTTGTGGGTTTGGGCTGTGCGAATGGGTGCATACATGTCCTCAACCTGAAATACGATGAGACAGTGATGACATTGGTTCACACCACAAAAGGGCCTGTGACGGCATTGTCATTCCGGACAGACGGGCAGCCGATGTTGGCGGCGGGCGGGACCTCCGGGGAGATCACCATATGGAACCTGGAGAAGCAAAAGCTTCAGTCCGTTATCCGCACTGCTCACGACGGGACGATCTCATCATTATACTTCTTGCCGAAGGAGCCGATGCTCATCAGTTCTGCTGCTGACAATTCGTTGAAGATGTGGATATTTGATTCTGATGATGGCGAGGCACGACTCCTGCGCTTCCGCAGTGGCCACAGTGCACCGCCAACATGCATACAGTACTATGGACAGGGGAGACGGATTTTGTCTGCCGGTCAGGACAGGTCGTTTCGACTGTTTTCAACTGTGCAAGATCAACAAAGCAAGGAGCTTTCGCAAGGCCGCCTAGCTAGTAAAGCGAAGCGGTATGACATCAGAGAGGAAGAGCTGCGACTGCCCAGAGTGATAGCCTTTGCTGCAGCAGATGTACGTGAGCGCGATTGGTGTAATGTTGTGACATGTCATGAAGGTGATTCAGCAGCGTACACTTGGCGACTCCAGAATTTTGTGATTGGAGAACACATTCTGAGAGCCCCTGGTACCAAGCGCAGCTCCATAACAGCTGTCGCGATTAGTGCCTGTGGGAACTTCGCTGTTGTTGGGAATGCTGCTGGTTGCATTCACCGGTTCAACTTGCAGTCTGGCCTTCATCGAGGCGTCTTCGCTACGCAACCGGGGGACAGTGGAACAGCCCATGACAAGGCTGTCACAGGATTGGAGTGTCATTCGTGCAACAAGTCTCTCGTCAGCGCAGGTTATGAGGGAACCCTTAAGATTTGGGGGTTCAGGAGCCGCGCGCTTCAGGCAGTCGTGGATGTGGGTTCTCCTGTGGTGAAGCTCAAGTTTCATTCCGGCAATGGGCTGGCAGTCGCTGTGTGTGACGACCAGGTACTGAGGCTGTATGATGTCGAGAATGTACGGCTTGTGCGAAAGTTTGACGCACATATGGACAGGATTACTGATGTCTCTTTCAGCCAGGATGGGCGATGGCTGCTGTCATCTTCGATGGATTCAACTCTTCGAATCTTTGATGTCGTTGCTGCACGTCCCTTGGACACAATGAGAGTGGATGTACCTATAACTTCTCTTTCTCTGTCCCCTCATATGGATCTGATCGCGACAACACATGTTAATCGCAATGGTATATACCTATGGGCGAACCATCTTTTGTACTCTGGCCTGCAGGCTGCAGAATTGCAGGGAAGTGGTGCAAGCAAAGTTATCGATGTAACTCACCTGCCAGCTGTGTCCATGGCGCTGCCCTCAAGCAAGAGCGAGGAGGAGGAGGAGGAGGAGGAGGTTAAGAACAAAGATTCGCAGGCGACGGAAGAGGAAGCACAGGGCAAAGATGGAGCATGGGCCGAGGACAAGGGCAAAGAAATGGAAAGCACGAACACCGAAGACGAGCTTTCGGGCAGACGTGGCATGGCTACCAGGCAATTGGATCCAGAGCTAGTTACGCTGTCTCTGCTACCAAGAGCGCAGTGGAAAGGGCTCGTTGATCTTGATATCATCAAGCTGCGTAATAAACCTGCTGCACCTTCAAAGAAGCCTGAACGAGCTCCTTTCTTCCTTCCAACTTTACCTTCACTGGCCGGAGACCCCGTCTTTGCCCTCCCGTCATCAACAGAAAACAAAGGCGGTGAACTAGAGTCTGATGCAAAGGTGGTTTCTCGGGTACGAAAATCAAACTCAGCAGCTGATAATGCCAAATATGTGTCTCCATTTACTCAACTGCTGCACAAAGGAGCTAGTCTAAACAACTACGCAGAGCTGACAGCTCTTCTGCATTCCATGTCCCCATCTGCGATCGATGCTGAGGTGCGCATGATGATGGTCGTAGAAGATGAAGATGGGAACTGTGACGATGAGGAACGGCTACAGGAAATCGGGATGGTGCTGGATTTTTTGATCCGTGAAACGGAATCAAATGCGAGTTTTGAATTGATCCAAGCTTTCATGCAGTTGTTTCTGAAGGTCCATGGCGAGGTCATATCTGGCCGATCAGATCTGCAGTCCAAGGCAAGAACTCTTCTTGCGAAACAGAGATGTGCATGGCAGAGACTCGACAGTCTCTTTCAGAACCTTCGGTGTTCTGTATCCTTTTTGACCAACTCTCAGCAATAATCACGCCGGAGGATGTTAAGGGTCGGAGTTCTGTTCGTTAGGTTTGGGTCGGAGTTGTGTTCGTTAGGTTTTCTGTTCGTCCCTTATGGAGAATGCAGGCGTCTGTCTAGCTTTGTCTTTCCTCGTGTTGCACGAAAGCAGTGTCAGTCTCCAGGCACCAGGCGGCATGTGAATCCTTATTGAGTGTTATTAGGCGATTTAACATGGATCATTTTTGACTGAAGTTGATCCCATCACTTGTCCTTGTGAGGATAGTCTTTTGCTCATAGGATGTGATTTGCTTAAACCACCAGTACTTCCCGAAGTCGTGCCTGTTAACAAGCCAACGATTTTAGGAAACGTACGGGCCACTACAGGAGTGTTCAAATTCATCCGACTAGAAACGTTTCTGCTCTATTTTTTTTTCCCGCGGGCAATAGCGGCTGGGCCAAGTACTGGTGGTTTAAACCTTGATATTGCCATGTCAATGTCAGGCTTGGGAGTTTTTTTTTTTTTTTTTTTTTTTTTTTTTGTTGACTTGGGAGAGTTTCATAACTAAGTCTTTTTGCACTTTTCTACTTAGTAGTACAGCCAGCAGGCAGCTGTCCATCACCGCATGAATAAGCCTTACGTGGATGGAATGCAGTGCGTTCAAGCGATTCTAGTTTCTACTTGCAGCCTACACAAAGATATTCTTCGTTGGGTCAATGATGCCTAGACCAGCCTTCATGCGGTTTCCTGATGACGATTTGCCAGGCCACGTAGTTTATGCAGGTGGTTCTGTTGGAGTCTCCGGTCCAGAGGAAGCATCTGGCCCTACCGTCTTCCCCCGAACAGAACGCACCCTTATTTTTGCTGTATCTGGCCGGAAATATAGCTTGTGTACATTCATTTTTAGGTTGCGTTATGATCGGGGGAAGACGGTAGCCTTCAGGCTCCTCAGGTCGTCATCGGGCGGGGACTATATGGATGCTATGTACCATAGCGTGGAGAATAGTGCCGTGCTAATGATTACATTGATGAGTGCTTTGACCGGCAGAGAAGCCTGGGCTTTCTTGCAAAAAAAGAAAAAAGAAAACAGATATTCTTCGTTGCGCCCTCTGAGGGTTTGTGGCTTGTTATGAGTCACGATTGCTAAGCACACATCGGTGCACACCGGGATATTCGACCAATCGTTGTTGCTGTGTGCCAAGCTTTATTTCCAACTGCGTGCCGCTGTGAGTTTGGCCATCACCGTTGGACACGTATGGACATACCCGCCAATGTGGCTCAAATGCAGATTGGGCCGCATGCACACATGGCTCACTTAAATTCCAGTACCTGCGCCATAGGCCTCTAGATGTCCAAAACGCTGAAATAAAGATTCAGCTAGGAGCCCAGATTTTAACCACGGATGCTGTATGTCCTACTGGCACCAGGCAACTGAGATACAAATTCGGATTTCTGTGCCTCGTTACGCTCCATGGTTTCAGACGGCTGCTTACGCCTTGTGGGGCTTTACCAATCCGCTCTTCCATGAAGTTTGCTCTTAATCGAGCCAGTCCTAAGTTCGTACCTAACCAAGGATCTCTCTCTCTCTCTCTCTCTCTCTCTCTCTCTGTGTGTGTGTGTGTGTGTGTGTGTGTGTGTGTAGGTGGCTACAAAATTGCCAATTCCATATTGATCAATCATGAAGTCTCTCGCTGGCGTTTGTCAAATCATTCATACATATTCAGCCAAGAGGCTCGAGGAAGTGGCAAGGGTACACAGACAGGGAAATGAGATTACTGTTGGCAAAGAGAGAGAGAGAGAGAGAGAGAGAGAGAGAGAGAGAGAGAGAGAGAGAGAGAGAGAGAGAGAGAGAGAGAGAGAGAGAGAGAGAGAGTGGCTGCGAGAGTAAGTTGCCAGTTCCATACTGATTAATCATATGGTCTCTCGCTGGAGTTGCAAATCATTCATACATGTTCAGCCAAGAGGCTTGAGGGGGGCGACAAGGGTATACAGACAGGCACATGAGATTATTATTTGCAAAATGAAGAAGGGGGGGGGGGGGGGGGGGGGGGGGGGGGGGGGGGGGGGAGGAGGGGGCAGGGAACACACACACACACACACACACACACACACACACAGAGAGAGAGAGAGAGAGAGAGAGAGAGAGAGAGAGAGAGAGAGAGAGAGAGAGAGAG